GACACTTTGTAGTAGTGTAGGTGGGCTTTAGATTGGGGATCCAGTTATGGCTTCCTAAATTATTGTTGTTTTATTGAAAATAGAGGTTTTCATACAATATATTCTGATTATGGTTTCCCTTCCTCTCAACTTCTCCGAATCCTCCCCTCCCCCTTGTGTCTGTGTCTATTCCTTTTCTGTCTCACCTTAGAAAACAGGCGTCTAAGGAATAATAATAAAATATAATTAGATTAAAAACAAACTGTAGAGTGAAAATTATGGAGATCATTTTAAGTTTGTAGAATTTACTTTGGATATATAGGATACTCTTTAAGTTTTCAACAAGGGCATGGAAAATTTCTGTGTGAAAGGAGCCATGAAGCAAGCCAAGAATGTGGAAAGACCAGTCACCATTACTGGAACTGGCCGACCGCAAAGAGAAAGGAAAGAATGCAAGTGAGCTAGGTGGAACCAAGCTGGGAACCAAGCTGGGAACCAAGCTGGGAACCAAGTTGGTAACCACAGTGACAGGGCAGGACCACATTCTTGAGAAAGATTAGCATACAGAGAGTTTTCACATGACCCTGACTCACGTAGGTTGGGTTCCTTTGGAATGTTCCGCTATTTTTATGTTATGCCACCTTAGCTACCCCTCATTCCCCTCCCCATTCCTTGGTTTGTGGTTTTTCCCTTAAAAAAACCCTCTCAAACTGGCTGTCTTTGTCAATTCAGCTCCTGCGTGAGCAGACGAATTGACCGTTAGCCCAGCTAACTTTCCCCAATAAAAGCCTCTGCTGATTGCATCCAGATTTGGTGCCTTGTGAGTTTGTGGGTGGTTGTGTCATCCCGAGACTTGAGTGAGGGTCTCCCCTGAGTGGGGGTCTTCAAAACCAATTGGAATATGACAAAACAGCCAGGCAAGAAATAGAGCCAAAGAAAAAGCACAGGAAGTATGTAGAGATGCACATACATGTTCTCACACAGAAATTCTATAAAAGCACAAAACTGGAAGACGTGACACATATGTACAGGGCCTGTAGGGTAAAACATGTCCTAAGATACCACCAAGTTCATTTTCTGTTGCCCAGCTAGTGCTAGGCATGCAGCCTACTCTTATGAGTGGTTTGTTTCTTCAGTGAGACTCCCTTGGAGAAAACTAATTTTTCATTTGCAAGTGGCTATCAATTGAAGATGGCTTCTAGGTTGGGGGTGAGGGCACGTGTCCACCTCTCCTTTCAGCTCTAGGACCTCATCTGGTACAGATCCAGGTAAGGCCCTGTGCAGTCACAGCCTCTATAGGTTCATCTGTGTTCCAGCCCTGTTGTATCTAGAAGGCCTTGATTCTTTGGTGTCCTTCATCCTATCTGGCTTTTACTCTTTCCACTTCCTCTTCTGTAGAGTTCCCTAAGCCCCAAGGGGAGGGATTTGATGGCGACCTTCCCTTTTGGGCTGAGTGTTCTCTGTATAATGTCTGGCTGTGGGCCTCTGTGTTTGCTCCCATTTGTTGCAGGAGAAGGCCTCTCTGATGCTGAGCAAGGCATTTTTATTGCTGTTCCTTTAATAGAACACTGATACTTGGTTTTACCCTAGGTTCCTGGACTATCTAGCCTCGAGTTCTTGGTTATCTAAGCAGCATTAGGTATGGGCTCCATCTCATGAAGTATGTCTTAAATCAGATATGGGTTGGTTACTTCCACAAACTTTTGTGTTATTCCACTAATGCATCTCGCAGGCGGCACCGTTGTAGACCAAAAGCTTTGCGGCTGCATCGGTGTTCGCCTTTCTCCTTTGATAGTGTGCAGAGAACCTTCCAGCACCATGAACATTAGTTCATAGGGGTGAAGGCTCTAGGTAGGTGTTCAGTGAGTTGTGTCTGTGTTGTCTTCAGCAATTAGGGCCTCACCATCTTTTTGTGAAGAGCCACCAATAGCCTTGGCAACGGCCTGGTTGTTTGGGGTTCTCATGGGACCCCCTTGGCCAACTCAGATAAATGTAACCCATTCCTGGTACTGGAAGGATCTCTTGATGATGAGAAATGTCCAGCTGTGGCTGCTGTCTCTTAGTTTCTCCTCAGGTTTCCGTGTGAGCCTTCAAATAGCCCTTAGTTTTAGCTGTCCCTCCCTCCTCTCCAGTTCCCCCAAACCCCTAATTATAACTGTCTGTTCTGTTTCCTGTTCCTAGGGAGATCCCTCCCTCCCTGAATCCCTCTCTTCTCTCCTCTCCTCACCTCACCTCTGTGGCTCTATGGAGTGTAGCTTGCTTATCAATGACTTAACAGCTGACATTCACATAGAACCAGATATACACCATATTCATCTCTCTGGGTGTGGGGTAGTTTACTCAAGATGTTCTTTAGTTCCATCCATTAACCTGAAAATTCCATTTCATTCTTTGCGAATTGCACATCATGCACCCCAGTCCCTCTCATCTCCCTGTCCCCTTGTATCTGCCCCGTCCTTGCAACCTCCCCCTCAAAAGAATGTAAGATCAAATAAAAATAACACAACCCCTCCCACCCTCGACGTGAAAGCTGCAGTGTGTCCCATTAGATACCCTTTTGTCTACACTTCATTCGCAAATATTCATTGCAGTGAGTTACTGGTCTGTTTCGAGGTCTCTGGCTTCTGCTTATCATCAGTACTGAGTGTTCACTGGGACTCCTCTTGATCTCCTGTTGATGCCCTGTGTCATGGAGATCCTGCAGCTTTGGCCTCTTCACATGCTCCAGCAGTTCACAGATAGATGATATGTAGATGGCTCATAGGGGTGGCTCAACTCAAAACCAAGGATCTAGGCCTGGGAGGTAGCTGAATTGGTCGGCCTGCCAGCTCTCCTGAACCTGCAACCCCAGAGCAAGCTCTCCAGCACTGCCTCAGCTAGCTCACCCAGTGCTGGCAAGGGGCAGCAGTGGCAGCTTTCTTCCTGTAGTGTCCTTGGGGTACTCTCCTCTGTGACTTCACCACCACAACCAGACCTACTGTGCTGCCCAGGTGAGGTGGAGGGCCTGTCTGCTCTCCCCAGAAGGGCAGGACCAGCTCTCCTGCTCTGATGACCTCAGAGACAGCTCTACCAACTACCACAAGTGATGATGGAGGTGGGATACATCTCTCTCTCCCCAGGGACCTCTGGGCAGATAAGGGGCAGATCCAGCTCTACTGTGCTCACACTCTTGGGGGAAGCTCACCCATTCCCCTCCACTTCCCCGCCATCAGGGTCAGCTCTACTGTGTTGCCTAGGCTATGGCTGGGGTCATTGCTCCAGAGTATGGTAGCCAGTGAAAGGCAGGATTGGTTCAGCACAGTCACTCAGAAGGCAGTCCAGACCAGGGACATCTTCATGGCCTTTGATATTAACATGGGCCTGGGATATCAACACAGACTCCAAACCCAGACACGGTCTCTGGCAGTAGCCTGGGCTGGATGTCCCCATGGCCTTAGATAGCAAGGCAGGCTACTCAGATCAGCATGTCCCCCTTGGCTGCAGTGCCCTCAGATATCCACATGGTCTCTGGTGGTAGCCCAGACCGCAGACACCAGCTTGGCCTGTGTTTGGTAACTCAGGTCAGAGACATCGACACAGACCTCAGATGCAGCAGGACCACAGACCCAGCCATGGCTCTTGGCAGCAGCCCAGGCCAGAACCTCACTATGGCTTCCTCACATCTGCCTGCTCTGGTTTCTGGGTCTTATGAACAGAACAGCAGTTGAACATGGTTGAGCGCCTCCGTGGCAGGGTGAAGTGTCCTTTGGGTATATGCTCAAGTATGGCATAGTTGATCTTAAGATAGATCACTTCCTATCTTCCTGAGGAACTGCCAGGTTAGTTTGCATAGTGGCTGCACGGTTTAAAATGCTGCTTTCATTTGAAACCCATGGAGACGAGTAAGGTCGTGTGCTCCTGTAACATTAACAAACAAGCCTGGTCTTTCTTATTGACTACTCCAGGTCCTCCTGAAGCTATCTGGGTGACAGTGACTGAAAAGACCAAGAGAAACAGATTTTCGTTCTATGTGTCTATGTATTTTGTCCCCTACCCCACCCCATTTCCAACTAAGGTATTTGAGCAAATACTCAAGTGACTACGTGACTGTTTTAAATATCAGCTAAAATGAAATGGTTTTTGTAATGTCGGAAAACAGGGTTAGAAGCAGTATTTAGAGGACTGCTTCCCTAAGATTCTCATGAACATCTTCCTTTAGGACAGCGGTTCTTAACTTCTGGGTCATGACCCCTTTGAGGGACGAATGGCCCTTTCACAGGGGTTATCAGGCATATCAGATGTCTTACGTATCAGATAGTGACATGACGATTCACAACGGTAGCAAAATTATAGTCATGAAGTAGCAATGAAATAATTTTACGGTTGGTGCACAGCGTAAGAAACTGTGTTAAAGGGTCGCAGTGTTAGGAAGGCTGAGGACCACTGACTAAGAACATGACTCTCAAGGAAGGAACTGAAAATATCACATTAAACTGACCCAGGGGAACGGTGGGTGCCGAGCTCTCCCACAGATAGCACGTGACGTTCTCCCTATGAAGGGAAACCGCAGGACTCAATGGCTGTAGTGTCCTTTTGATTGCTAGGGTGAAGAGAATCGCTGTCTCCAGATATGATGACACCTGGGAACCTGCACAACACAGACCTGTCAACACTCCTCAATCTCCCCAAGGAGCCACGTGGACAGCTGGTGGGTCACTTCCTTCAGGGGTGTAGCCTCTGCTAAGGTGCAGTAAAAGTTACACCTTCACATGTTCGTGCCAGCAAGTCTAACCTTAGTGGATCAAAACGGCACAAAACCCAGGAGGGTTGTGTTGGGAAGAAAGTGTCAGCCAGTCGGCAGGGAATGAGACAAGGTAGTGGGTTGAAAAGTGACCGAGTACATTGTATCCATGGGAAGCTGTCAAGGCTATATATTACATTGTATCCATGGGAAGCAGTCAAGGCTAAGAAGAATCACAATCTCATGCTTAGCAGTGTGTGAAACGTTTTCAGTTAGAATTCTACAGAAATATAAGACAATATTTGGTTTAAGTTACATCGATTTATTTTCTTAATTTCCCTCTTCGTCCTGCATGCACTGTTAGCATAGTAGCTGAAGCTGATCCCCGCCTGCCTGGAGGGGACAGTAGGCACACAGTCACCTCAAGAGCTTCCTCATCAGTGGTCCAGGAATCCAGACCTTCAGAACACTGCTAGTGACCTACATAGTGCTAGTGGAAAAATACGCCAAATATCCTGTTTAATGTAAACAAGGCAGGAGGCCAACAGAGTATCAGTGACAGTATCTTACAGGGCCCGGAAGGTGATTATCTAAGTGTTACGATGACATGCATATTTTACTTTATTGTTCAACCCAAAATGTAAAATTACAATAGGTTGTGGTTTGGCATTTCACCGTAACTTCTTCTGTTACACCGTAACCTTCATAATTCAATGGTAACTATATAGTAATGTAATAACTTATGGAGACATTACCAGAAAAATGTGAATTAGTTCTATAATTTGTGCCCTGTAAAATTAAATGTAACAATCTTTACATTAGCAACAGTGTAAGCAAGCTATAAGGATTTTGGTCCTTTTATAGATAGATATATATATATACACATATACACATGTTTATATACACACATGTACACACAATAATATACAGTTAGGCTGAAAGCTGTGAATCCACCCACAGTTTCATATTGCACAGATATCTTATGAGAACATTACACACTTATGTGAGCATTACAATAAAGACTGGCGAAGACAAATCTGATTTTGTCAAGTGAAAAATGGCTCATTACTGAAAATAAACCAAAGACTACATTGTTAGAAAGTTGAAAAAAAAATGTGCATGCTTCCTTCTTATTTATACAAACATGAAGCAGGCTGGAATTCAGTTTGGAACTCAGCAATGGCAACCACTTGCTAAGGTGGTACTTCCTACCCAACACAGTCAGTAGAAATCCTCGAATCTCTGAGACTGTGAGAAAAACCTTAGATGTGGCTCGTGGTTTCCTTAAATCAACTCAAACTCAGTTCCGTGACTTGTGCTGACTCTGGGTCTGAATTAAATATGAAAAAAGAAATTAACCTTGGAAGAGAAACAGGCTATTGCTAGCTGGCTACAGGGCAAGGTCATCATGACTGTGCAGGAAAAGCGCATGTCCTCGGGGGCAGCAAACACCCAGAGGTAAAGCTTTGCCGAGCTCAACACGTGGCTTACCATAGGTCCAGCTGTGAGTCGAGGGATGAGTATTTGGTCTGGAGCTCACCTACTGGTACCCACAGAGCATTGTGAGAGCATTAAGAGACACCTGATACCTCTCAATGCCTTATCTCAAATCCACTATCCAAGTAGACAGTAGCAACATCCGAAGATGGGGGAGCTGTGGGGATTCTTACAGAAACTAGTCAACAAATACAACAAAGGGAACCACTGCTTAACGCTCAGAGCCATGGAAGGGAGGCCACGAAGGGAACCGCTGCCTCTCTCCCGCTCTGGTTCGCGTATGGTCTGTCTTAACGGATTTCTTGAAGGAACAGAGAAAGGTTCGCAGCGTGTTAGAAACATAGAGTAGTTTTGTTATTTTTCACAATGATTAACATTCTGGTATTTTGTTCCTAAGTAGCAAAACTGAGCTATAAAATGAATCTGAAACACTAGTAAAACAAGACTGAGCAAAGTGTCAAACAAGCTCTGAGCCATGGAGTAACACCCCCAGCTGGTGACTGCCTCCTACCGTCTGTCTCCCCCAGTGGCCGGTGAAGAGCAAAGTGCGGCTGTTTAACACTTCAGTAAGGACACCGGCTCCAGAACCACAGCTGAGTGACTGGCATCAGTCACCTAAAGACTGGACAGACAAGGGGACAAGGTGTCCCTGTGTCCTGCAGCTGTAACCTGCACCTTGGCTGATGGAGACATCCCTGCATCCGTACCACTCACACGCTCTGTTTCCTTACATCATTTAAGGTGTAAACTGAACATGAAGAGACTTTAAAAAAAAGATCTCTTTAGAATCACGTAAGACAAAAGACCGAACCTAATAAAGAGAACGGTGAACACTGAGAGGCCCTCGGCACGCCGACTGCTGCTCCAGAGCCAGGTCCCGCTAACGCTGCCACGCACGTCAGTACGGACGTCAGTCATAAAGCAAGTTCATAAAGCAACTTTTAGAGAGGAAATGGAGGGGTCTCAACCCGGCATGTGTTAATTAGCTTAAAAAAATACTATTTTAGCAAACACTACCAATGGTGAGCATAAACCCAATGCTGTTGCAAAAATGACAGCTTTAAATAAACTGGGAGCCACGCATGAAAATCCACCACGGATATGGCTGTGCACAAAAGAGTAAAAGAACATTTCTTTAAAAATATATATAATATATTAAGAATTTCTTTGTCATATTAAATTGTTATTCTTACAAAAGCTGAAGGAGTCGACACTGTCTGCATGCAGACTCTCCTCCAGATCCCTGTGATGGTATCTCAGCGGCGTTTCCCTCATTCAGTTTTCCTAAATATTTTGTATGATAAGAATCTCGACCTTAAAAAGTTATAAAATTAGTGATTTTTTTTGCTGCTTATTAATACAAAAGAATATAAGCATTTGAGTCCCAGAGAATGTCAAAATGCTTTGCTGCCTAAAACGATATTAAGAGAAGAGAAATATCAGCCGAGTCCTGACATCACAAGTTCCGCAGCTTCTCAGTCACTGGAGACTCCATCTCCTCAAGTTTGATTGTTTTCTGGGTTTGAACAATGTGCAATCATACAGAGAATCATCATGGCAGAGCAAGTGGAAGCAACGCCAGGCCTCACTGAGAGCAGTCACGCAGTGGATTCTTAACGTTCTGTGCAGTTGACTCGATACTTCATTTACAAGGCTTTTTATCCTCTCGTGGCCGAGTGGCTTGGGCTCTTCACGGCGTGGCCGAAGCGTGGTACTTAACAAAGGCAATGGCTGCCAGCTCCTTGCAGAACTCCTCTAACACAATCACACCCTCCAGCAGCGTGATGTGGTCAACACTGGAGAGAGCAGACAGAAAATCAGAATGACAGTGCAACCCCGAGATGGGAGGAATTTCCAGATAAAGTCTACAAAACTCTGACTCACATGGGGCCTTCGGGCTCCAGGCCAAGCAGCCGCTTTCTGACTAGGAGAAGCTTGGGGGTGAAGTCTTGAATTCGCTGAATCCGAACCATCAGATCACCAACAACCTGCGTAGAAGTGAGGAATTCAGCTCCACAGGGGCACTTGCTGAGATACCTTCCTTCCCAGTCACCGCATCTATGACCAACTTCTATTTAATCTTCAAAATTAAATGTCAGGGCTAGGGAGGCGGCTCTGTGGGCGCCAGGCTTGCTGTGTCAGCATGAAGACCTGAGCTCGGACCCCCAGGACCCCCAGATGAAGCTGGAAGCAGTGGTGTGTATCTGCAAACCCAGCACTGATGGGGAGACAGGACAGGCCCGGGGGCTCACGCCAGCCCTTTGCAAAAGCAAGTGCTCTTAAGCCCTGAAGCATCTCTCTGGCCCATGTTTTAATGACTTCAACGAATTCCTGTAGCTCTATAATGGTTCAGAATGCAGAGCAATTATCTACAAGCAGGAGCTGTGTCTTACTTTATACTAGCTACACATAAGGAGGTGAGGATGCCGATCACAAGCTGACTGGTCTCAGAGAACAGAGCATCAGTGAACTCACCCTGACAATCACAGAGAAGAGAGACCTACAGCCAGAGGCCAGGTTCACGTAGGGATCCAGAAGGTACTCGTGTGTGTGCGGATGAGGGAACAGGGAGAGTCTGGACAACACCGAGGTCACCTGCAGATTCACGTCGTACGGCTGTGAGGAAGAAGAGCAGATACGCTCATGTCCTGTACTTCCACTGCCCCCGCCCACGGTGCTGAGACTTAAAACAGGGAGCAGGCATGGATACCCACAGAGAGACAGCTTCCTAGGGCAGGCAGGCCATCACAACCCACCAGTGTGTCAGGTACAGCTCTGACCATGAACCACGGAGGACGTACCGAACCCAAAGTCCTAACAAAAAACTATCTGAACTTTTCAACACAGTAATATAATTTTAGGCCTACTTTCCATAACTCAACATGTAAATATAGCTCCTTAGACGCCTCTTGCACATAGGATCACAAGGTTCTGTAACTTGGCTGTTCACTGCTGCCTGCTGGTCCTAGAGCCAGCGCTAGAGAGGACGGTGCAGCTCTGAACTTCTCCTGGAGCCACTCACCCAGGCTAGCTCTCTTCTCCCCAGCAGCCACAGGAAACTGGTGGGCTTAAAGCTAACTGCCTAGAAGAGAGGCAAGTCACCCCTTTTCAAAATCTTGCCTTAAGACAAAGGAAAGGAAACCTGAAGTCCCAAAAAGGGAGAGCTTAAAAGTATATTTTCCTACTTGTAAGGATTGGCGACAGAATACACACACACACACACACACACACACACACACACACACACACACACCCCTCCTTCTTCAAGAGCCAGCCCATTGACCAGCCACTCACGACCTATGGACAGTCATCTATCAGAAACACAATCTATCAAACACAATTGTATGAAAATCAGGATCTTCCAATGTATTACCTGATCAAGAATTCTTCCCATTCTGTCAAATAAAACTTTCAAAAAATGTCCTTCAAAGAAGGCTGCTTCTAAGTCGCACTTCTCCAGGGGCTTGGGGGTGCCAGGCCACTCCCACCGTAAGCAGACCGCACAGTAGTCTCGGAACTACGAGGCAAGCATTTGGAGCGTTAAAGAGCAGTGAGAAACTAGCCGAGATGAAACAGACCGCCCTCAGATCTGGACTGTCAGGGCGCCTGGGCGCAGGGATGGGGAGTGTTACAATGAGCCATCGAGGCTGGTGGGGAAAGGGTGCATCTGACTTAGAGAAGTCACCCCTTCAGGGCTTGCAGTGGTCCTTGATTGACTCTTTCAGCCATTATGGCAGACGTGAAGAATGTCTGGTTCAGAACCAAAGTCTCATGTAAGGTGCTACATGTATCATTACATGTAAAGGGTGGATGATGCCTGTTACCAAGCAAGCTTGGTGTTCTTAGAACATACAGACATTGGGCCTCTCACTGTAAAAGGATGGAACACTGCTCTCCAAGGGGAGAACCACAGGCCAGTGCTGATCCTCAGTCTTGTGACCATGACCAGTGGTAAGAACAAAAACAGGGGAGTTGGCTCTCCCAGCCCTCATAGCGTGACTACGCAGTTTCATATTGGCCAGGTCTAACAATGAAATAACTGTGGGTTTTTTTTTTCTGTTTTCATTTTTCTAGTAATTCGCTATTCATTGTTTTTAATGAAGTGTTAGCATATGATAGAGTGAAAACAAAAACTAGTCCTTGAGAGCCAGGTATGGTGGCACACATCTGCGATCCTGGCACCTGGGAGACTCACACAGGCGCTCCAGGACATAAGCAAACTCAAGGCATCACGGGAACCGGAGACCTCGAACCACGAAAGAGTGAATGAATGAATGAACAAGTGGTGCCTGCAAACTCATGTCTCATTTCCAGGTGAACCTATACCTTTCTCTGGAGTAAGGGTTGCTGGCAACTGGGCAGAGTAGTGTACATGGGGTGGGGGGTGACACATGCGTGTGCATTTACACCCCCAGACTCCCAAGTCAGGTGGCCATGCCACTTACCTGCCTGTGAGCGTCTCGGAGGTAGGTGTCGTAGCCGGTGCCCTCGACATGGTAGGAGGACTTTGCTTCATCTGGCACTAGACAGAGGAAACTGAAGGGAAGGGTCATGGTGAGCACAGGCGCTGCATGGCAGCACCATACACACCACGAGAGGAATTACACGCAAGCTTAACCGGTAACGAGTGCAAGGGGAACTTAAAAATCAAAGTACATGGCAGGTTTTGATAAATGGCAGGTCTGCTCTCAGATTAAGTTTTTATTAAAAAGTAGCTAATTCTGTATGTAACACAAATAAACCTAAAAAGACTTTATTTATTAATTTATTATTTTCTTTACTTATTAATCTTAAGAACTGTAAGTAACTGAACCTGAGATAATTTTTTAGACTATAATTTCACATTTGAGCCAAATGCCATTTTTTTAAATGCCTCTTGCCAGAACCAGGCAATGAGAGTTAAAGCAAAGATACAAGAGAAAACTGTCATGAAAAGATACTTTAAAAAAAAAATGTAAAAACACGGATTGAGAAATGAGCAGTTTGTCACTGTTTCTCTAGCTAGGAACTATGTAGCGTTCAGTCACCGAGAGCTAACTTCTTAGCCCTTACTTCTGTCTCAGTTCCTTTTCCCTTCCCTCTGTCTCGGTGCAGGCTGGCCTCAGAAGCTTCTTATGGAGACCAGCCAGTGCTCTCAACAGAAATTACTTCTCTATGAATACTGTCTTTTCTCCTTGTATCAACTGTTGTCCCCAGATGTCTGTCCCCAGCTCCATAATCAAGACAAAATCCCTGGCAGCCCCTGCATTCACAGGGTACTCCTGTGACAACCAAAGGGCAGAGCAGCCTGGCTCAGAACACGTGACACATTCAGGCCAATCACACAGCGGCTCACCTGTTGACGACTTTATGCACTTCCGTCTTGCCATCATTTCTGGGATGGTCTGGGCTGGCGCGGGGTGAGCAGACCCACTCTTGGTTCGGCAGAGTGTTATCTGGTGAAATGTCAGTAAATAATGGATCTTCCTCCAGATCGCTAAGTTTAATTTAATGATGTATAAAAAACAACATTTATTATGATATTTTCTAAACCAAAAGATTCTCTGCTAGTTTCTGAGATATATTACGTAATTTTTCTAATACAAAGAAAGAAGGGCTAATGTATTTAATATGCAAACTACCATTTTACATTAACAATCTCAAGAGTTCACTACTACTTTTGCTAAAGCTCAAAGAATATTTAGCACCTGCCCTTTACGAGGAGGTGGGTGACCTGCTGGAGGCGTTGTTTAATGCACCTGTGGAGAACCCATGTCCTGGCTGGGGAGACGCCACCCACAGAGCAGACACTTACACGGCTCCTGCTATCAGCCCGTTCTCCACCACGTCCTTGTCTTCCGGGCATAAAGGTTTGTACTCTGTATAGTTTCTTTCTTCAAGATTCCTTAGGACCAGGTTGTACAGAATGTGCTCGTTGGGTTTTTGCAGGAGATGCTCAAACATCCTCAAGGTCATTATGCTGATCTGAAACCAAGTCAACGGAAGCTGAGGGGACGCCTTCAAGTCAGGTGCCCTCCGCAAGTCAGACCGCCAGGTGTTAGAGCCACATAAAAGAGACTCGTTTGGACGGTCACAAGCAGAGGCCATTGAGGTGGCTTTCTGGGTAACAGTACACGACACCAAGCCTGACTTACCTGAGTTCGATCCTGGGGACACACACATGGTGGACAGGGAAAATTTGACCTCTACATGTTCACTGAGACACATGTGCCACCACCCCTCCAATCCCCAGCCCCTCCCCTCACCAGCACCTGCCCCGCTTGCCATCACAAAATAAATCACAAAAACATTACAATCTAAGTCCAGCACAGTCGAGCACGGCTTACCTCATCAGATATGTGATCGCAATGTTCAATTAACCTATGCCTTAGAGGATGTCTGCTAATTTCTGACAGAGTCTCTGGCTCCCTCTGCTCTCCGAGGATGAAGACCACCATTTCCTGAAGCAGGACGTCTGAGGTCACTTGCCGAACAATGCGGTGCAGCAAAGCCGTGGATGTCAGAATCCCCATCTCAGAGCTGGAAGGAGCAGACAGGGGGTCAGCGGGCAGAAATGACACACCATGGCTAGTTCTGCAAGGTGAGAGGACACTCACGTCTGCATCAGCTGGGGTTCCATGACACCAACGAAGAACCTTTCATGGATGGCTTTGGCGAGAGCAACAGCAGCAGTCTAGAACACACGGTGAACACCAACAAGTTGACTTGGGCCTAAAGACAATGAACTCTCACTATACATCAGTGCCACGTGGAGCTGGGGACCGGCTGGGTCCTGTGCAAGAGCAGTTATTTGCTGCTGTGCCACCCCACTCCCCTCAAAACTAAGAACAGACAAAGATCCCAGTAACATCTCTTCAAAGCAGGTGTCAAGGGAGTGTTTACAGGCACTGCGTTGAATACTTAAGGCACAATCAAGATGCTTTTGGATTCAAGTTTTACTTCATAAACATAAAAACTATCAATAAACAACAAAGAATTTAAACCTTTTGTGCCTCCTTGATGAGCTGGTCACAATAATCAAACCAGGAAAGAAATGAAATTAAGGCCCGCTTCCCCGGGAACGCTGACGCGTCTTCTTTATGGCTGTAGGAGTCCAACCTGTGTGACACAAAGAACGATCTGAGGCTGTGCAAGCGTGGACACAGGGAAAGAAGGCCCCTGAGCAAGTTCATTCAATACCCAGAGCAGCACTGGATACCAATCAGAAGTGATTTATAGGAGACACAGATAAGAGGTGTCTCTTCAAATAAAAGCCATAAATCAGTTCGCTCCTTAAGTGGGAGGAAGCTAATGCAGAGAACCATTCAGCCGGCAGGGCTTGACCAAAATACCAGCTGAGACAGTGGAGGAGCAGGAACGGAACGGAAGGTCTGCGAAGGGCAGGCTCCCTCTGCCCTAACCTGCAACTCACTCATGACCTTAAGCAAAACACAGTGTGGCTGCCTGTGGGACATAAGCAAAACACAGTGTGGCAATCTTCAGAGAAAATGGCAAAAGGTAAATAGATTAAAATATTGGGCTGGACTCAATGGGTTTAAAGCAGAAGGGGCTGCTGAGTGGGTGGGGATGGAGGCAGGGTGGATCTCAGAGGAGCTGGGAGAGGTATGAATATGACCAGAATGCAATAGGAAAGTCTCAAACAATTCATATAAATATTCAACTCTTAAGAAAATATTTGGCTGCTGATAGGTGGCAAGTTTGTGCATAGTTCTTAATGTTGCTTTTATTTTAAAATAATTTATAAAAGTTATGCAAAATTCATATTCTCTTAAAGATTTTTATTTTTAGTGTGTGCAATGTGTGTATGTGTATAGAAATGTGCGTGTGTGTAGAAATGTATGTGTGCATATACGTGTGTACAAATGTGTGTGCCTGTGTGACTGTATGGAAATGTGCATGTGTGTGAGTGTGTGTGCGAGTGCGTGTGTGATGCGTGTGACTCTGTGCACATAGAAATATACATGTGTGTGCATGCGCATGTGTGCAGGCATGTGTAGGACTGTGTGTAAGCACAAGCTCCCACTGAAGCTAGAAGAGTGGGTCCCTGGGTCCCTGGCGGTTGTGCGCTCCCCCGTGTGGCTGTGGGAACCAAACCCTGGGCTTCTGCAAGAACAGTATGCACTCTGAACTGTGAGTCGCCTCTCTAGGCCACAAGTCCTATTTCCTAATAAGAACAGAGTGAGCTTGAGATCTCAGCAGAATAGAGGGATGGAAGCATGACACAGGAGAGTCCACAGCACGGCACAGGACACCTCAGCCTGCTCAGGAGCAAGGACAGTCTTTCCTGGGCAAGGGATGCCTGAGGCAAAGCCAAGTGCATCTGAGCTGGAGGCTAGCCTGACCTACAAAGCAAGTCCCAGGCCAGCCAAATCAACAGAGTGAGACCCTGTCTTTTAAGTCTTCTGTTGTTAACAAAATGAGCAGTTATTGATCTTAACATAAATCCCACAGTGGGCAAAATAAAAGGAGCCAGACTCTGTAGTCCTGGGCTGTCCCCACAGCATTCTGTCAGCACTAAGTGACTGAATATGAGAATATCCCACTCACTGATGCCTGGTAGTACCACATTTTCAAAACCAAACAGTCCGGTCACTGGAAAAGAGACGTGGACTTTGAGATGCAGGCATAGTGTCTCAAGCTGTCCCCTCCAGAACACAGAACGAACAGCTTACCCCCAGTTAACTGCCTCCACGGTTTCAATGTCTAAGGGATCCACTGACTGAGGTAGGGCCTTGTACAGGGAGGTGAGTCTGCCGGTCAGCAGCTCACAGAGGCAGGCACTCTGAGCGAGGCACTTGGCAGCCGCAGGCTCCGGCAGGCTCACCAAGAGCATCAAGCCCTCGCAGGCTTTCACAGCTATCCGGCCGTCCTGAGAAAGAACACACACAGTACTTCTGGAATTCAACATGAAAGGGTTCAGTGTTTTTCATTAAAGGAAGAAGAAATGTGTTTCTACTTTAAGATACATATTATTGCAATCAGGTGTGGGGGAAGTAAGAAGCCGACTTACGGGACTTCTTGTCAGGTTCAACAAAGAATTCACTAAGTTGTAATCCTGGTTTGGCCGGATGGCAGAGGCCTCTGGCAGTGAGGTGACATTGAGGTCATCCAGACTTGCAGACAGTTCATCCATCTGGTGAGTGGGCTCATCCTCCGACTCCATGTGCTCCACCCCAGTAGCACCTGACAGCTCCTGGGGCTGGCTGACGTCTCCTGACACGGGGTCTTGAACTTTTGGGCCTTCCTCTGAGATGACACTCAGAGCTCCTTTGGATGTCAGGGACTTCAACTTGTTCTGAAAAGAAGTGTGTATCTGAGGGTCACGTTCAGAACAGAGATCACGCTCCATGGCTACCACCTCAAATGAACAAAACCCAGCAATCACATGGGAGTGGCCTCCCTTCTCCCTGTCTTCTCTGGCCATGTGCTGGGAACCATGACCTGGGCCTCACTCAGCTAGACAAGCTCTCTGTCCACCTCTGAGCGTCATCTCTGGGGGAGGGGGCGGGGTAGCCACAGTGCTGGATATTGAATGCATGGCCTCACACAGGCTTGACGCTGAGCTACACTTTCAATTTCTACTTTGAAATAGGGCCTTATTTAGTTGCTCAGGTTAACCTTGAACCTATCTTGTAGTCCAGGCAGGTCCTAAAATGGCAATCCTCCTGCCTCAGCCTTCTAAGTAGCATCTCTAACAGACCTCTGCCATCATGCCCAGCTTGGATTTCTCTATGATTAGTGTGCCCCGTGCCTAATGGAAGTGGTGGTCAGTGTTACATGAAATGAAAACATACAGACTTAAGCCACCTTTGAATGTGCCATCAGTGTGACATGAAATGAAAACATACAGACTTAAGCCGTCTTTGAATGTGCCGTCAGTGTGACACAAAATGAAAACATACAGACTTAAGCCATCTTTCAATGTGCCGTCACAGTCACACGGCTGTCACTGACCCTCCACACTGAACACACATTTTACACTGACCGGGCAATGACGGTATCAGGGATTACTATCTGACTACTGTAAAGCACCAGTACTGGCAGATACTGTTATTCCCGGTCCTTCATCCCAATGTTAATCCTGTTAAGGTCATGTGGGAGGGCCCAAAACTCAAAAGTTCAAAGGTTGACGCATTAGACTTGAGGTTTTCACAAAAGCCTCAGACTTTCTTCAGTTTGTCAGAGATTTTTCTGACTGTTTTTCCTTATAGCTCTGCTTAGGAAAACACAAGAAACTCCCCGGAGGACATTTTTATCTGTCGAGGATACAATATGCTTGCCTGATCCTCATATCCAAACACAAAGAGATTCTTAACTGGAGCAAATCATTAGCTTCCTATCTGACATGAGAACAGAAATCAAAACTATTTCACAAGGTGAAGTTCACTGGAAGCCAGACTCTCCAAAGGGCTCACCACAGGGAAGACCAATCCATTTAAAGGCCTAGTCCCCTAGCAATGGTTAGAAACATTGCCACTGCTGTATCACCAGGCCAGTCTTGAGCCAGATGAGCTCATGGCATACAATCCAAACAACTCTGTGTAGTGAACAACTTGCCAATTTCCTACACAACCCACAGAATATCATACTTTATAAAAGAGAGACACTTGGGCCCGTGAGATGGCTCAGAGTAAAGGCATTTGCTGTAAGCCGTATGATCTAACTTTGATCCCCACGAGCCACAGTGGAGCAAATCCACTCCCACAAGTTGTCCTCTGACCGCCACACACACCACAGCTTTCGCCTGCCACACATGCACCAAATACACAGTTTAATTATAAAGAAAGCAAACGCAGCATTTTCCTCTCAGTCTCTAATTCTGTCAGAACTGCTGTGTCCAAGAAGAGGGCTGAGGGAAGGCCGCTCGTTAGGCTGCCATCATGGTCTTCTGTGAGGCCTGACAGGACAGACGCCTGGGACTACAGACCGAGAACATGGAGGCAGAGCAGGGAATCTTCATTCAGAAAGCGCTTAGGTGATGAACTGTGGCCATGTTGCTTGTGTTCCCTTTTTGATGGATCTTACTGGTGCAACGCATTTGTGCAGATAACTCCTGACAACACATTTGTGCAGGTAACTCTGAACTTCTTAAACCTAGACTTCTCTCCAAACAACAGACCTGTGGCAATGGCATCAGATACCAGAACTTACACCAACGTGGGCATCAGGACAGCTCCAGGTATGGAGAACTGAAATACCATCATCCCTTCAAAGCAGGCTCTGGGTTGCCCTGCTTGCCCCAGCACTAGTGTCGCTTCTCTGGATCCCACACATCCCAGTGGCCTTCCCCTGTATCCTGCACACGAGCATCCTACAGCACACCGAGCCTGCCACGGCTCTTCAGTCTAGGCCCACCTCTGCTCAACCACTCCCCACCACGTCTTTCCCTAAAGGAACCCACTCTAAAATGCTGCTTGAAATGTCAGGTATTAAGGCCCAGATCTGACCACATAATAACAATCCTTGCTCAAAATTCATCGGTGGCTCCAAGTGACAAGAACACACATGAGCCATTCATAGCCATAGCCAGTCCCAGCATGTCTGTCTGTCTGTCCGTCCTGACTGTCTTGCTGCTTCCTGCTCGTGGTCGTTCCTTCTGCTCATTCATCTCTCCAGGCTCATCTGGAAGATGACCTTGTCCAGGAAGGCTTTCTGATGACCCCGAGCAGATGTAATCTCTCCATCCTAAGGATACTTCTCCAGTTTCTTTTGCATCCTTTTTCTTTGCATTCTCAGCTTGCTTCACCTACATCACCTGAACGCCTGTCTTACCCTCTTTGTCTGAAGGGCAACAGCTGACTCTTACTCTCCCACCATGGGCACTGAACACAGCAGATGCCAGTTACAGGGACAGATTTTAAGGGTGCACGCTGGAGAGCTGCAAGGCGCAGTGGACAGTAACGACCGTTACCGTCTGTAATAAAGTGATAAAGCCCTGCCTCCCACAAGCTGTCAGTCAGCAAGGATAAGTCAAGCAGTTGTGTTAGCTATGAGAAGCTGTGGACACACAGTGACCGGTGAGGCAGAATCATGGACCACAGGATGCAAAGTGACCAACAGGAGGGATAGAGGCAAGTTAGCAATCCTGACACTCGGAGGCTGTGATGACTGCAGTGAAGAGTATTCATGGGTGATGTCTGAATAAAACAGACATGTGTTTCCTGTGTAAATGGTTCTCTAAAGGCAGCTGTGTCACGGGCATCTCACGACTGACAACATAGGAGCCTGCGGATTTTCTGGTTTTTTGGTCGATGTAATCCATGAGACAAGTTTCAGAGATTTTCAGATAAGTTTAGGGTTAAATCCATGTATTTAAAGTACTAAGTGTCTAAGAAAACAGTAGAAAGAAGAAAAAAAAAACTTTGCAAAGAAAACCCCAGCCAAGAGTAGTGTCCACACTTCTGAGCCCAGACAACACTGAGAATTCTAGGCCAGCTAGGACTACAGAATGAACTCCTGTCTCAAAAAAAGAAAACCAGCCAGGCACGGAGGCAGAGGTAAAAAGATCTCCCCAAACTAAAGGCTGCCTGGTCCATGCAGCAATTCTGGGACAGCCTGGGCCCACATAGTGAGATCCTGTCTCAAAACACAAGCAAGGTAAAGAAATTTCACACACAGCTAAACTAACTTTTTGTTATACATAAAGAATAAAAGAACTGTCATGCAGCCAAAGTAACGTCTTTAGAGATGCACATTCTTGACTAACAAGGATTTTGATGCAAACTTGAAAGACAAGATAATGACTGTGAGTGTTAACAGAAATGGAGACGGGCACTTCATGGCCAGAGTACTATGCACAAAATCAAATTTATACAATTTTGCAGCTGAGCTGCCTGCCGACCGCTGGGAATGTTGCAGATAGTACCCCAAATTATTTACTCAATAACAGAAGAGAAACCAATATATTAGAATGTCAAGCTCTAAGAAACACTAAAAACCTCACAACGCCCCGAAACACTGCTGATGAACACCTGACAGCAAAGCCCCTTTCCTGAAAGTATTCCTCAGTGATCTCACCGCCAAGAAGACAGAAGGGGCTGAGGCTGGCTCAGCTGTCAGAACGCTGCCCTGCAAACATGAAGGCTTCAGCTGAGACTCTCAGTGCCTATCACAGCCACACAAGCTACAGTCCCTAAACTGGGGAGGTGGAGACTGGGGCACGCCAGCCAGCCTGTCTATCCCAACGGGTGAACCCCATGTTTGGTGAAAGAGGCTGTCACACACACGTACATGATATATAGACATATATTTTTAAAAAAGCTAAGAAGAGATTAAAGGAAAAAAAAGTGAACAAAAGCAGAAAGTAGACATGGTTTATTTTCTCCTCTTAAGCTGTAAGTATAATTCAAAATATCAATTAAAACAAGCCATGTCTTGATTATGGCTATAGAAATAGAACAAAATACTGCAGCCATACAAAAGGGGGAAAAGCTGTTGGCACCTCGAGATTCTGTTCAGCTTGCCTACCTCTGCGTCTGCCGTCCTTCCCCTCCCCCTTCCCCAGTGCTGTCCTCTCAGACTTCTCCCTCTGAGCCTCCTCCCTCTGAGAGTCCTCTCTCTGAGCCTCCTTCCTGAGAGTCCTCCCTCTGAGCCTCCTCCCTCTGAGCCTCTTTCCTATGAGCCTCCTTCCTCTGAGCCTTGGCTTGATGTTCAGCCCGTCTCAGTCCTACCCTGTCTAGCTCAATTGCAGTCCTTGAAATTCTCCTTCCAAGGTGATTGCCAGTAGAAATAAACACTGATCTTAAATGAAAACTGCATCTTGTCAGCAGAACCTGCAAACCTGAATTGCTCCTGAGTGGATTTAATTTCACTTTTTATAAAGAGCTGCAGATCAGATTGACATACCTCCAGGAAAAAGTTGACCAAGTAGGGATCCTGTTTCAGCTTTGCACACACGATGCAGAGAAACTGGATCTCTTCATTCTCCGTTGGTGTTGCAAGGACCTCACCACAGAGTCGAATTAATTTCTGTCAAAAAAATTTTTCTTTAGATTTAAAATTCTCTTTTTGATGTTATAAAGTATAGAACATTACAGAGAACTATAAATATGGTGATATATAAGGAAAACCCAAACATTTGCAAATTTCCATGCTATGTTTCAATAATTTCCTTCATTATTTTACTCTTAGAAAAACAATATAAAGTTCCTTGTATACTGAAGTCAATGTGCTTTTAATCTGACGTCAGGGGAGTGGATACCTGCACAGGCCTGTGTACGTTGATGTGTGGAAGCAGGGGCTGCCGGATTCTTCCCAGAAGCTTGGTGTAGAACACCAAGACCTGCTGCTTCATTCCTGGAGGACACTGGGCACAGGACAAACATAATATAAGCAAATGTTCACAGTAGGACAATCCATGTCTGTAAGTATAGTCTCCTTCAAAGACAAAGCCACTGGCCAGTTAATGATTTTGTCAGAATAAAGTTTTCCATTAACATTCACAACTGGCCTTCTAGAAACACAATCATATATCTGAGACCGTAACACGACTGTGGTCACAGCCTCAGGTGATTACACACACCACGTGAACATGTGTTATTGAGGCCAGCGCCTGCTAGGCACCATCAAGCTGGGACAGAAGCTTATGAGAACTGACTCCCTGCCAGACCGAGGGGAGATCTTATAACTTACAGCAGCAAACAAGTTATAACTGACTCACAGACACTGGTAAAAAGGAACCCTATGGCATGGACTCCTTTAAGCTAACTGCAAAGGTATTTGTACTATGAGAATTATAAAGAACATCACTAGGAAGTTCTTATAGCATGCCAGCTATTCTGCTCAAGAGCAGCAAGCCTGATGATCACTCTGGATTCAAAGTCAGGCAAGTCGTATGCACTGCGATAAAGCAGATGCCTACACCGTCATGAGATGTGTGCACCCGAGGATCATCACAGAAACGCTACCCGGAGTCAGCCTAAAATATAATCTCCAGCACAACGACATTTTTAGGGTAACAACTATCTTATATTACTCGGATAAAACGTTAATATTTATCATCACTTCTATCAGAAATAAATTTACTAGCAGTACAATCACTACCATTTTGCTAAAACATCAAACTAATTGGATTTAGTGTTGTAAAATCTCTCACCACAAAGGGCAGGGACAAGGGACATAAGGATATGGCTCTGGTCCTTAGGGGACAGGATCACTCCTTAGAAAAGAGTGCACTTAACTTAAAGGCACCTCAAAATAAACTGGGCATTACAGATTTTGTTAAAAAGAATTTGTCTTTAATATGATTTGCAACTATGTATCATTAAAATGTCTGTCATTCCCTTTAGTGTGTTACTTTACAGAGATTCACAGAACCACTGAGTTTTCGAGCTGGAGGAGGATTCTACACTCATTTCCAACTCCAGTTCAAACAATGCAGGTCATACCAGCGTGTAGCTGTGCAGTGGGCAGCATCATGGGGCCTGGGCACACTGTGGTGTCCATAGCACAAAACCAGCTGACACTTCTCAGAACTCGTCCTTGCTCTGGTGCTAAGGATGTGGCATGAATGTGAAGCTTCTGTGGTAGAAAACACTATCTATAATAATATTATATTAGATTTGCAAAGATTATTTTCAAAATTCATTAGGCCTAAAATCTGGGTAACATCCACGTGACTCCATGAATGCCAGAATAGCAATAATGTTCCCTTTTAGGATGGAACTTGTATTGCAACTCTCCCAGAGCTCTTACCCTTCTGACTGTGAACAATTCGTACTGGTTTATCTTCACAAATGTTTGCCCTGGGATTCTATGCAGCTAAGTAGGAGTGTGGTCAGACAACTGGCAGGTTCTGTGTGACTCTCTGGCACTCTCTCTGAATGCTGTAATTGCACAGGGCACATCTCCGCCCCTCCACCCCCCATCTCCACCACTGTGCCACGTGTCATTCCCATCTATATATCTGAACTGAGCACCTGGAGCGTCACCTGTGTTACACAGAGGGGCAGGGACTTACGTCGGCTTTTCCTAAGGTGTACAATGTTTCCAAGATCTTGTGATGGAGCAGATATTCCATGCATGGCCCTGTCTCTCCAGATTCCCGCTCATTTTCTTCTTGGACCAGTATGTCTAACATCTGTTCCAGGTGGGATGGGATGTTTGTATCAGTCACTGGGGCTTTATCATCTAAACAACAGAAAAATTCACCAAATATCATCAAATAAATACTGAAATGCCTTTGTAAACTTCCTATGTGCAACGACATTACCCTCCTCCCCCATCATTCCAACTCAACAGAAAAGTCTGAACCACACATATGAGGTTTGCTCCTAGTGTGGCTATCTTTGATAGAAACTGTAATCCATTCCCTAGAACATAGCTCGTCAGTGAATATTCACCCCTTATCAGTTAGAAATGGTCTCTGAAAAACAAGCTCTAGTTTCTGTCTCCTCTTGTCTGTTGTTTAAACACTCGCCGATCCTGTTCCTTGGCACACATTTCCGCTTGGGATGCCTCCTGCTTCCTACTCAGGAGCTTGAACATTTAGAGCCCAGGTCAGACCCTGCTTGTCCCAACCCCTTTCTCTCCATCCTCTCTCTACCCCCGAGACTCTGCCTGACTCAGAGCACACCTGTTCCTCACATAACTAATACACATGCTTACTTCTGCTACCAAATAGAGGAAAAAAAAATATCCTTTAACTCAAGAATGTGTGTTTCCCTAAAGCCCCAGAGAATTGGGGGGGGGGGGGGAGGATGGGATCACAAAAGCTAATAGTAATAGGTGAGTAATCTCAAAAAATACCTTTGCAGGTGAGCTGCTAAACACGCAATGTGCTGAGTGCATGCAGACTGCACATTACATGGGAAGGGCTGCCCCAGCCTTAGTTACTATAGAGCTGCACAGGATTCTTGTCTTTGAAACATGAGTCACCTGACCCCATCGGCTTGCCCATCCGTCCCTCCCACTTTTTCACTCATCCTGTGTTAAAGGATGTGTGTCTCATCTGCATATTTACTACTGGGACTGCACAACCCTCAAGACAGCAGATTGTCACACTTTAGCACACGGGGCATGTGAGGCCCACCTCAGTTCTTACGAATGATGTTGGCACAGCAAGGAATGGCCATTGCTTATGTTTGTGTGAGCTTCAGCAGCATATGACACATGCAGAGGATACTATGTAGCCTCGGAGGGCCAACAGATACATAGTTCTCTAATCCCTAAGACAATTTACCTGTATCCCCCATATTTACCCTTCTGCTCACTGGTTTAAACAGACCTGCCTATCCTGGCTGTCTCGTTGCCATGGGCAAACCATTCACCAGCCTCCCAGAGGCCAAGCCCCTGCTTGTGCACCAGCTTCTCTTTCCTACTCAATGACGATGCTTGTGAGCAAGCTTACTGGTGAACAGTCTGACTCTGGTACCTCCCTTTCCTCCCCTGGATTCTGTACACAAACCTGCTCACAATGGTGAACAGTCTGACTCTGGTACCTCCCTTTCCTCCCCTGGATTCTGTACATAAACCTGCTCACAACTCTTCTTTCTCTCCCCCCTTCTGGTTCTTTTTTTAACTGCTGGTGCTGGAACCTAACATCTAACTTTCTCCAGGCCAGTGCTCTACCACTGAGCTGTACGCCCATCCCAAAACCTTATACTTTTTGAAATAATTAAAACATCTGAGGGATACTGGGGAGATGGCTCAGTGGGTAAGGTGCCTGGCACCCAAGCATGCAGACCTGAAGTCAGATCCCTAACATCATGAAAACCCAGGTGCTGTGGTTGTGTTTGTGACCCCAGTTCTGTGGGAGGAGAAGACAGGTAGATCTCAGGAACTCACTGGCTAGTCAATCTAGTCAATCAGAGTTCAGTAAGAGACAGTGTCTCAGAAAGTACGGTGGACAGAGCCAACAAGACTGCTCAGCTGGCAAAGGTGCTTGTGTGCAGGCCTGATGACCTGAGTTCAACCCCCGGAGTGAAACAACTCCACAAAGTCGTACTCTGATCTCTCTATACTCCCCAAAGCAGGCATATTCATATGCACACATGTACAGACACACAGACACAGGCATACAGATACATATACACAAGAGGGAGGGAGAGAGAGGGAGAGAGGAAGGTGGGGAGGGAGGGAGGGAGGAAGGGAGGGGGAGGGGGAGAGAGAGAGAGAGAGAGAGAGAGAGAGAGAGAGAGAGAGATTTAAAAAGGTGAAGTACTTGAGGAAGATACCCAGTGTGGTCTTCGATCCCTCTCTCCCACCCACACACTAAAGAAGTCATAACCTCCTTTGCCAAACATTTCCCTCTCAGGTCTCTTTGTGCAACAATCCTCAGGAGAGCAATCCACACACTGTCTACACATATATACATTTGCTCCTAAACTTAATCATGGGTCATCTTTTCTCAGGCACTCAAACAGGTTTCCTCAAGAACACCAGTGAGAGGCTGAGGGATGGAGCAGTAGACAGGAACACTCGAGTCAGGGCCTCTCCAGAGGAACATGGCCAAAGGGTATCGTGGTTCCCTAGCCTGAAGTAGCCATCTGCCCACCCTACACCTCTGCATCCACTGCCACCATCCTCATCACGCCTGCTTTACTTCCCCACAGCACTTATCAGACACACTGTGTGCGTATTCTCACTTACTGGGTGCCTCCCCCATGAGCTCTATCAGGACAGGGCCCCGTGTGTAAAAGACTGACTACTCCAGTCTCCCGTGCCTAGAACAATGCCCAACACAGGGGATGCTCAAAAGCTACATTTTAAATGACCCTAAAAGACAAATCAAAGGTAAAATTGTTTAAAGTTAACAATAAAATCACTGAAAACTCATCTTAAAGCAGAACTTAGGCATGAATGCTGCTTACCTGAAGTTTCTATGTAGTAATGGGTAATTGCCTTCCAGTGATAAACAAAATCTTCTTGTAACGGAAGAGATGGTGCAAGCTACACAAACACAAAAGACCAGACTTAGAGGGCGGCATTAAAGGCTCCTGAAAACTTCAATATTACACTTGTCCGTGATGCAAGAGAAGTATCAAAATAAAGGGGAAACTTGATTTTATGTCAAATATCAAATAAACCAAAATAAGTTGAATCCAAGAAAGCAGAGTGAATTATTTTTTAAAAAGCACCTTTATCAATATTATTATTAAACTATAGCATTGACCTTTCCCCCTCTTCTGTTATCACATGGCTTCAAAAGTTACAAAACCAAACCCCCATTATTCTATGGCTGAGGTATCTGTAAAATAACATTACTGATAACCAGAGGCCTTTGTACCTGGGACTTTGGAAGGCGAAAGGGTGAAGAGTAGCTGGCAATCGCTTACGTATCAACACTACAAATAACTACACTGCCAACGTCATAATCTGATTAAAACTGTTCCCTACTTTCCACAGCATTCTGATGTAAATCTTCTCCTTTGTAAGCCTAGATCATGCAGTGATATTTTTAGCAAAATAACTACATGAACAAGACACTACACATTTGAATTCTGCAAAATGTGTCACACTGCAGGCTTTGAAATATACTTCATAAGTTTTTAGTCCATAATTATAGTCCTTAGCCATCTTGCTGCAAGCTGGCCAGCGTTGAGGAGTTCACGTTAAAGGAGGAAATGTAGGCCTGGCCACTCCTCAAACTCTTTTCCTTGAAAGAGTGAAAATGGGAGCTGGGCAGCCTTGAGCTGTCATCACCTTTGTCAGAAAGTACGGTGCTGACCCACAGTAGAATAGAGCTAGAGGTTTCTGTCCTGGGCACAATTATTTTACACTCTGACTGGGTTAACTGCCATTTCATGCTCCTCCTGTAAGCGCCAAGAATGTCCAATCCTTTGGCATTGTGACCAGATGTTGCTACCTACAAAGCTCACACTTGAGAATGCAGCAAACTGAGTATACACACACACACACACACACACACACCATGTTTTAAGTAAGACTTTGGTTTTGTGTCAGGCCGCACTCACAGCTACCTGTGGCTACAGACTGGGGATGTCTGCCAGATGACCTACTGCACTCAGGCCTCGCTTAACTGCCACCTGCTCCATGTTGACCTTTGGCTTCCCAGTTAGAAACTTTGAGGTTGACAACTCTGTCAACACAATTTCTCAACTCTTATGTAACTTACGGTTATGGTCACAGACATGTTAAGTGTCTCAATACACAGGTGCAATATGTTTATGAAAAGAAAATGGAACTGAAGAGTTTTGATCTGTCATTGGCTTCTTAAAGCCAATTCTTTCCATACTTGCCTATGTGCCCAGAACTTGAAGAAAACAGAAATGAATATTTGTTGCAGTTGTGAAAGACTTAACAGGTGGTTAAGTTTTGGGAGGACTTAGCTTTATGGAGTTAAATTTACTAACAAATGGGACAAACATAGGAGGAATTGATTCTTTCAAAGAAAGGATGTTGTTTTTAATGTAGCAACGATTTCTCCTTTTAAGCTGTTACACAGTATCCTTCCTCCAGATTTTCCCCCAGCAATACCACACACCAGATCACCAGGCTAGAGTCTCCGCGTGTGCGTGCGTGTGCGTGCGTGTGTGTGTGTGTGTGTGTGTGTGTGTGTGTGTGCTTGCCATATAATACCATCAAATCCCAAGCAGGATGACGACATTCCTTCAATGCAGGAGGGAGACAGATGAACTGTTCTGAATTGCTAATAACTCAGATGAATAACAATCTCATTCAAAAGAGAATTCTCTTACTCTTAGAGACTCCAGCAAACTTGCCTTTTTGTTAGATCATGCAGATTGCTTGTTTTACCATTGCATAAAAAATTCATCCTCTGATAGAGATGCGTGAACCAGCAGCAGGATACTATAATTTGATATTTTAGTATTTGGAGATTAATTTCTCAAAACTCTCATCCCTATAATCACCTCAAATTGCCAGGACACCTATCTGTGATTTCCTGTTTGCGTGTCTTGGACTTCCTATTCTCCTATCTGGAACCTTCTCTCTAAGAAGTTTCCCCTTCTCCATTTTGAAGCACCTGCCACACAGAGGCTCCCTCCTAGCCTTGGTGACAACTTTTAAGCTGTCTCTCCCTTAGGCTGTAACTGGACAAGGGTGAGGCCATCTTTTTCATGATGCGGACCCCTGTTTTTAACTCAGTGATGGAGTTGAGTCAGCATCAAATACTCATCCATGAAGAAATGAACGGCCACAAGTGGCTGACATTAGATAGGTAGGTGTGCAGACCAGCAGTGCATGGGTCACACACACTCACTGGCAGAACTGAAGATCAAACCTAGGGCCTGGCATAAGCAAACACTGCACCATCATCAGGCCATACCCCCAACACTCCTTTAACTTTTTACATTGTAGCAGGGTCTCACATACATTCCAGGTTGGCCTTGAACTTGAGACACTCTTGCCTCAGCTGCACACCCCACCATACCCAGCCTAAAACAGCCTGGAACTCTCACAAGAAGTTCCTGTTTTGCTCGAACGCCCAACAAAGTCTACCTGTTAGTTGACTTGCCTTAGGGAACAATTCATTTTGCTAGAAACCTGGACTCTGTCCAACATGTCCAATACACAGAGGAACCTCCATCAACAATTTGGACAAAACATTCTAGCCATCATCTCTGCTTTAAATGTCTACAAGATGCACATTTTTAAAGGATCTTTAAAATTCCCTTTTTTCCTACCCTTAACTTATTTTATCTCCACTTTGTTGTTTGTTTTTGTTTGAGACAGGGTCTCCTGTAAGTCCCAGCTGGCTTCAAACTCACTGCATAGCTGGGGCTTTCAATCCCTGACCCTCTGGCTTCCAGATTCTGAGGATTAGGATTATAGGGGTGTACAACCACATCTGGATGTCTTGCTTTGCTTTTCCTTCCTTCCTTTCATTTACTCACTTTACATCCTACTCCCTGCCCCATTCCCATTCACTTCCTCTGTCTTGCTTTCAAGACAAGGCTTTATGGAGAGCCCAGGCTTACCTGGCTCTCAGGAAGGTCAGAGACCCCCAACACCTACTTCCTCAACTTTCTTAACACCTCCCTATCTCTTCCACCTCTCTACTACCTGGCTCCAGTCTTACCATCTTAGAATCTTCCCCAACTACCCTTAAGATCTGCCCTCTTCCTCCTACACCCTCCAACTCCCGCAGCCAGGCCAAATCAACCTTTGAAGTGTTATCAACCATATAAAACTCTCCTGGGCAGCTCATTTTAACCTCTGCAGCTATCCTGTGCATAAAATCCGTAAGTTCCGTGTCAACTCAGAGGGACAGTGACTGGACTGGACCCTGCTTGTCTGACTCCAGGGCGGATCAACCCCTCGCATTCCTTATGCTATGACTGCCCAGTGTGTTCCAAGATGCAGACACACCGTGTTCCCTTAGTGTGCGGGTGCTTTCTTTCACTCTGGCTCTTAAAACTTTTGCTGAATAAGAAAGGGGCTCAAGCCGGGCTTGAAAAACAAGTCCCAAGACAGCAGTTTTCAAGAATTGGTAGCCTGGAGGCAAACTGCTAGGGAGAGGCAGAGGATCAAGGCCAGGCTGGGTTATAGCTGGGAGATGGCTCATTGGTAGAAGAAGGAGGCTTGTCTAACAGACAGGAGGCTCGGGTTCAGCCCCCAGTATGGTGGATACGGTGGGATGCTGATCCCAACAACTGTCTATTAACTATGCTTTGAAAACACTGCATTCTGAAGGATGACATCCACCGAGTTAGTTAAAACAGCCTCCGTGGAATAAAGGGGAAAGGGCCATGATGGCAGAGCTACAATGATGGCAGAGCCATGAGGATGTCTCCACAGGACCTGGCCCTCAAACTGCTAAGACAATGGAATCTAACCTTAGGACTATAGGACAGGCCTCATCAGAGTTGAGACATGTGGCAACTGGCTAACAGAACACAATTATTCCTAAGATACTTACTAACGGATTCGAGCTACCTGAGGGGAGAGCCATCCTTTCAGGAAAGAGAGGAGAGAATTACACAACAGGTCTTGGCTTTTCGTGAGTCGTGAATGTCTCTCCTAACCTCACATCGTGCCTCTCAGGTTAAGACACATTTATAAAGGTGACGATATGAAAACATCTATTTTCCCTCTTTGTAAGTAGTTAATGGCAAAACCATTTAAACGATACACACCAGGTGAGATAACACATTCTTGTAATCCCAGCTACTTGCAAAGCTGAGGCAGGAGGACTACTGAACAGTTTAGTGAGACCCTATCTCAGAGTAAGAGTTTGAAGGCTAGGTTCAGGTAAGTTAAAGCTGGATTCTGTTTAGCAGTTAAGAGAACCTGTTACCCTTAGAGAGGACCAATTCTGGTTCCAAGGAACTCAGCATCCTTCTCTGATCTCCACAGGTACACAGTACACACTCAGTTCACAAGCATGCATGCAAGCAAAACACTCATATAAATAAAATAAAGTCAATCTAAAAGGATTTTTTTTTCCATTTAAAAGGGTGTCTGACTGCCTGAGTTTGATTCCCCAGGACTGGGACAGTGAGACAGAAAAACTGACTCCAGAAAGATCTCCTCAGACTTCCACCTGATCAAGTTGTAATCACACACACTGACACAGACACACGCACGCATGCACATACACAGGTGCACACATATGCACAAAAGGTCATAATAAAAAGCCTCTGAAAAAGCCAGGGTAGAAGACTGTGGGACAGCCCTTACCTATCATTTACCAAGCCCTGGGTGAAACCCCCTGTATCAGAAACTAAACAGAAAACAAAGGATATGCCTATAACCCCAGCTCTTGGGAGTATGGGGGCAGGAAGATCAGGGGTTCAAGATCATCTCTGGCTGCATAGCAAGTTTGAGGCCTGACAGAGACCTTGACTCAAGAACAAAACAAACACAAAACTCAAACACCTCATCTAAGCTCATCTAGATGAATATACATCTGGTCAACCTTAAAAACCATTGCAAGCTGACCTGACTGAATATTGGACACTCAGATGCTGATAATATAAGGGGTTAGGACAGCACAGTTCTGAAGACACATAGAACAGAAAAGAGGTCACTTGCAGGCCTGGGGGTCCCTCCCAAGTCTGCAGAACCCTGAGGATTCTGTTTACTGGTGTGCTGGGTCAGAATGTAAAAAGAGAAAGAAAAGACCAACAAATTAAAGATCGAGAAGACAAAAGAGTCATCGAGACTGAGTAACCGAGGAACTAATCTTGGGTTATGAAAAACACTCTTCAGCTACCAGACGATGGTTGTTTATCATTGTCTGGGGAGTTCTTTCCCAGGACAATGGTGAAGGGAACGTCAAAAAATATATTCTCCAAGGGATGAGGGACCAAATCTATAATCCCAGCCCTTCTGAGATAGAGATAGTAAGTTCAAGACCAGCCTGGGCTACATGAGATCCCTCCCAATAGAGCAAAGCAGAGCCAATCAGATATCAAGAGTAGTCTAGTCCTTTCTCTTGGTAAAATGTGTGGGTGGTAATACAGCTTAGAAACCAGCACTGAGCAAATGAACTTGACATTTCCACTGGCCAGACATTTATTTATTCCTGGGACAGGGTGAACCTAGTGAGCTCCTTCTCTCTTCACAGCAAGATGGGGAAACTGGATACTACAGAGCCAGAGGCTTACTCAGGTAATCTGACAGATGCTAATGATATATGTAATTATAAAAAGATTATGAAAACTGAAAACACAGGCCTTGGAACCAAAATGAGTCTATAGACCAAAAATCCTAGCCAGGCTTAGAGACATGCCTAGAAAGTTAGACTCTGGAGGCCATTGAGGAAGTTCGAGGCCAGCCTGAGCTGAGTTCAAGTGAGTTCAAGGCCACCTTGGGGCACTGGGCAATTCTCTTATCTCAAAAAATAAAATAAAATTCAGTGGGAGTGCTTTTGTCTAGAACATGACAGGCCCCAGGACTTAATCCATATGACTTACTCCTAGTTATCTTTTAGTTATCATTATATTAGGCAATGTTCAACTTTAAAAGTTTGATGACTCTTTATAGTCTAAAGTATAATACAAAATATCAATATAAGTGTTGTTAAAATTTTTTAAAAATTATTTTACAAATGCGTTGCAGGTTGACTCCATATTAAGCAAGGAAAGTAGAGGCAGTATCTTAAAGTCCAGTTCTCTCCCCCATGTGTCCACACTCCTCAGGACACTCCACTTCTTTCTTGGTTTGATGTGTCACCAGAAGAAACAAGACAAAACAAAACCCAAGTCCCACATAGCATGTAAAAAGCAATTGCATTAAAGTTTTGCCTCCATATCTGAAATTCACAACTCTAATTCTGTTAGCCGACCCTAAAAACCACCGTGGTGTTTACGTGATCTTTTTTTTTTTTTCTTTAGAAAGTCATGCGAATTTTAAAGTGCTACTATTTGGCCATTCTCAACACGCAAAGAAAATGTCATTTAAAAAACGAACACAGTAACTTTCTTCACACAAGGTGATACTCGGTCCAAAATAAGCAAGTACAATAAAAGCAAAGGGCCGTGTTTAGCACTGGCAAGAAAGGCATTCTCTTCCTAGGTTCTAGGGTGCTGGTATGTTTGGCGGTTTGAGTTCCGTCCCTCTGTGCTGTTTAGGACCAGCCTCAAAGTAGAGCGGTTGCAGGCTGCGCCAAGGGCCTCCAGGAAGCGCATTATAGACAAGAAAAGGGAAACAGATGGTGTGAGCCGGGTGATCATGGACCCGCAAACTCCTGCAGATCGATCACCGAGGTCCGGCCGAGGTGGGCCGCCCGGCCCGAGCTAGCAGAGCCCGTACCGGTGTGGATCGGGCCCCGCGGTCCCCGTCGCTCCTCTCCCACCCGCACGAAAGCAAAAGCAAGCCCTGCCCACGGGCACCGCCGTTCTTTTGTCTTGCGCGGCGCTGGCCACGTAGCCCCGGAGGTTAACGGCCAGGAGGCCCCGGGAGCCGCCCGGTCTCCAGCGGGAGAGCAGAGGCCCCGGGGGCGCCCAGGCCTCGCCGCAGCCTCCCTCCCCGCGCCCCGCAGCCCCTCGTGCCCCACTCGGCCTCACCGCCTCCACGGCATGTTGCAGGATGGACGTGAGCTTGGAGAACATCCTGTCCCGGGACTGCAGCAGCTTCTCCCGGGACGACCTGGAGAGCTCCTCGATGCGCCGCCGCCGCCCCTGCTGCGGCTGCCCGGGCCGCTCCAGAGTGAAGGCCGGTGCGGGCGGGCCCGGGCGGGGAGCGGAGGGCGGAGGCCGGGCGGGAGGCGCGGCGGCTCTGATCGGAGGGCGCGGGGCCGCGGCAGGCGGTTCCGAGGACGTTCGGCTGCAATCGGGGTTCCGCAGAGCTCGGCGGCAGCGGCGGCGCGGACACGGTGGCAGGAGCTCGGGCTCTTCCGGCTGCCGTGCCCGTCGCTGCCTGCAGGGGGCGCCGGTGCGGCCCAGGGAAGCACAGGCCTCTGCTGCCGGCGGCGCTGGACGCGGGGCGTGGCGCGCAGAGGCCACGGAGGGGAGGGCGGAGCCGACGGAGCGGGCGGGGCCAGGGAAAGGGCGGGGCCGGCGGGAGGGAGGGCGGGGCCGGCGGGAGGGAAGGCGTGGCCAGCGCGGTGCACCGGGCGTTGCTGGCACTGGTCTCTCGGTAACCAGCAGCATTGTGTGGATTTGGCAGCGACGCGTAGACGTTGCGCTTGCGTACCGTACGTAGGGCAAGTCTGGAAGGCCGCTAGGGAAATACCAGCATCCCGAACGCAAAAAACGGAAAGCCGGGTCCACGTGCTAAGAATTCGACCGCGTCAAATGCAGGTGAAAAGTCTCCGCTAGACTAAAAACAGCTTACCCTTATCATAACCGGAAGTGCCAAATGGACATGTGGGACGAGGGTTCGGTTAAATAACGCAGGATGGTGACTTACAAGGTTTCAGTGTGTTTCTGGAAAAAGAAATAATATTCAGAATGCCTAACACTGATGAGTGAAGCTGTAAATTAAAGAGCACTGGGCTGGAGGCTTCCTAAAGCACTATGCAAACGTGTATTAAACAAGCCTAGAGGAAACACTGATGGACTGGACCATCTTAAGTTGATTGATACAACTTCTGAAAGAGTCTGGAGAACTTTATTCTAAGCTGGTATTAGCATCTCACCAAGAGGATCGGGGAGTTCTGGATTAGAGTGAAGTAGATTTCTCATTAACATGGGTGAAAATACATATTTATAGTAGAATTCGTTGAGCAGAGGGCAGAAGAGGGCGCCGCAGCTCCGAGCGAGGTTGAGAAGTCTGTTTGGATCCAGCTCTACCATTCTGGGACCTGAAGTTACCAATGAAGCAGTGAAGAAAACTGGGAATCACAGGCTCTCCTCATTGTTATAATATTAGTAACAACCCAAGAGAGCAGGAAACCAAGAGAGAAAGTAAAGGGAGACTTGAGTCTTGCCTTCGTTTCCATGCTTTGGTTGTTTGCTTCTGCTGTGCTCAAAGGCAAGTAAACGTACCCTTGATTTCTGTAAACTCAAACGCTGGCAACATCCTCTGTTATTTGTTGAACTTTGAGATGTGTTCAAGCTCCTTGTTCCTGCTCCAACCTATGGCACACAATGTTTGTTGTTATTATTCATACTACTTACGAGGTTCGGTCAGTTTATTAACTGTAATAATTTCCGGGCCTAATTATATGGCATCTTGTATTTTCACAATGTTCTACAGCCGCAATTTGTGTGGGGAGTAATGTTTAGGCGGGGCTAAAAGTTGTGCGTGATGGATATTTAACTTTGCATACTTATTATAAGCACAATAAAATACATATTTGGCTCTGGGTTAACATCAATATTCGATGATTTATCTGCCTGGTCCCTAATTTCTAAGACGCACAAGTTAGCTAGAACTGTAACAGAGTCATTAGTTGTATTTCCTACTCTCATCCCGAATGCTTGGAGTGACACTAATGTATAGCCTGCCTAATGCATGGATGCAGTTGAACTCTGCTCAACCACTGCTTTGGAGGACACTCAGGAGGCTTCCTTTACCCTTGAAAACACCCTAGCTTCCTCAATTGGAACCTTGTGTGTTTATTCTGTTAAGACAATAATAAATTTAGTCCTTTTTGAAAACGGGTCTGGAATGTTGGTTTGGTGGCTAAGAAGGCTTGCTGCTTCTTCCAGGGTACCAAGTTCAGTTCCTCACCCCACCCCAACCTCTCCCCCAACACGGCACCATTGCCCGGTGGCTCACAACCTCCTGCAATTCCAGTTCCAGAGGTGCCTAGACCCTCGTCTGCCTTTTGTGGGCACGTGCTCAGTTGTGAACTTGGAAGAAACATATACACATCCAAACACAGGGAGCCTGAAGAACTGACACCCAAGTGGGACGGAGCCAAGAAGAACGGGACCGGTTAGATGATACTTGTTTTTAGTGTTGACAGCTTCTGGTGTAGTAGGTGGATGGGAAGTAAAAATGTATCACCCTTCCCCTCACAAACCCTGATGAACTGAGAGTAAACAAATTCCTCGTTTATAACTCCCTCCTGCCCCCAAGAATAAGTTAGTCGGGAGAAGAGACGGCAGCAGAGTTAGGAGAACGGCTGAAAGGGGTTAACATGATGCACCAGTGAAGAAAGGCAGGGATGAAAGCAGCATACTAGTCCCAAGACCTTGTCAAAAGTTAGAGACTGAAAGTGTGGTTTGAAACATCCCTCGTGGACTCCTGCTTGAACACTTGGTTCCAGCTGGCGGTGCTAAAGAACCTTTAGGAGCTAGAGGCTTATTGGAAGAAGAGCATGCTGGGAGCCTGGCTTTGAGGCGTGTAGCTTGGCTCCACTTCCGGTCCCCCGGAATCACTCAGCTTCCTGACTGTTAGGCTGGCCCCAGCTCCTGCTGCTGTGCCTTCCCACCATGGTGGGTTGTGTAGTCTCTGGAACCATAAGCAAAGTAAACCCCTTTTCCCACACTAAATTGCTTCCAGCTGTGATTTTGTCATGGCGACTGAAGGCAACCAGAAGATCGGCTACTGAGCAAATGACACAGCCAGGATCCAAAACGTGGGGCAGATGAAGTCTGTCCTGGATCTGGCGGGGCCCTCCCTGCTCTGTGAGGCCCTCCCACTGCCCTTTTGCAGTGCAGGCATAAGATGACTTAACTCACGAGAGGGTAGAAACGCCATGGGGGAGAAAAGAATGAAGTGAAAACAGACGATGAGACGGACACGCCCCTAACCTTCCTAGTCTCCTAAAGCAGACATGTCAGCCCAACCCTGCCAGATGAAAGGAGGAAAGGGAAGTTTTCTTGTGGAGAATCTGAAAAGACCAGAAGATACTGACAGGGAGCTTGCCACATGCGCAGGGTGCTCCCTCAGCCTCTCCTAAATGGATCAGACACCATGGGGTCATCAGAAATGTGAGGAATGGGTGTAAGATCCATGGTAGAGACCAAAGAAGGGTAAGAGACAGTGGAGATCTCTGGTTTCATCGGAAGAAATGAACTTGTTTATCGAACAGTTGGGGATGGAGACTCAAGGAAAAGCAACGTTACTGCCATTCTCCAAGGACAAAAGAAGTTACTTCATCAGTAGCAAGAGTTAGCTGCTATCTCTAAAATAGCACCAGAGAGCAAAGAACCAAGAGTAAAACACAAGTTGAAAATTAACATAAATAATGTGGGAACATTTTCTGCACTTCTTTTTCTAAAGACCAGTGAAAAGCCAGGTGTGGTAGTGCACATCTATTATCCCAGCTCTCGGGGTCAGGAGTTCAAAGCCAGCTAGGGCTGCATCCAGCATTCCAAGCCAGTCTGGACTATTCAAGAACCCATCTTTCCTTGGTAGGCTTTCTGTTGTTCTGATAAAACACTGACTGAAACCATCTTGGGGAGGGAATGGTTCATTGTAGCTTATAACTCTCAGGTCCCAGTCTATTCCTGAGGGAAGATCACCAGCAAAAGGGGGGTGGGGGAGAGGAAGTTGATGAATGGAATACGTGTTTGAGCAGATTTTCTAAAGAAAAGGAAAGTTTGATATTGAAATAGTCATGGATTAAAAACAAAAGCTAGGTAACGGTTGTGGCAGCTGCAGGAAGAAGACTGTTAACACCAAGAATGAAGCATGCAGTATAGGAACAGGTGGTTGATCTATGTGGTGAAAACACACACGGCGTTTCTAAAACCTTTAAACATGATCTGTGAACACTGGTCCAGTGACCGTAACCAACGGCATTGCCGTATTGGGAAGGTTTGGGGGTGTGGGGGGCTGACTCCTCATCAGCTCAGTAGGGAAACGGCAATTGCTGAAGAGACGGCTCATGCTGAAGGTCACGTATTGCTCTTGCAGAGAACCCAGGTTCGGTTCTCAGCTCCCACACCGTTGTTTATAGTAAAGCCTGCAACTCCCACCCCAGGAGAGCTGCTGCCTTCTGGACTCGGCTAGATGTGTGCGCATACATGCACACACATTCACACACACACATACACGCATGCACACACACATTCACACACACATACATGCTTGCACACACACAACTTAATAAAATAAGGGCTAGAGGAAAGTTCCTGACGAGCACACTGCCTTGCTCTTGCAGAGGACCCAGGTTTACTCCCAGCACCCACATGATGTCTCACAGCTGTCTGTAACTCTCTTTCCGGAAGATCTGAAACCTCCTCTTGGCCTCCTCAGGCACCAGACCAGCACATGTACAAAGACACAAGTGTAAGTAAAATGTTTGTACAACAAAAAGATTAAAAGCATCGTTTAAAAGCATGTTCTTCAAAGAAAGGAAGTAAATACTGAACGCATCCTCTCCCGGTGTTGAAAGACCATGCCTCTGTGAAACAGGAAGCTGGGAGTTTGGAGGAAGGCCTGCGGCTCTCACAGCAAGCCTTGTAAAAGCTGAACTTCATGCTGACACAATGCAAAGTTTGTTTGGCAAGAGCAGAAAGAAGGGTGCCATTCTGAATGCTTCTTACAAAGGTTCAGAGGAGATCACAGCTGGTGAGGGTGAGTAGCCTGTCAGATAGGAGGGGCGTGGCAGACTTGAAAGCCAAGATAAGGTCAACACATTTTTCAGGTTACAAGAAACATGAATGAGGAGAAGCCAAATATTAAGAAGTTTTTGGCTTGGATGAGGTCAGCGAAAGCATCTTCACGAGAGATAGTGGATGTGGAGACGCAGACAATGAGGGGCTGG